CTGAAGGAGAAAAATGAAGTCATTTTAGGCATTTGATTAATTAATTAACCAAAGCTTGATTGGTTTATTAGCAGAGAAATCTGACGATTTGATACTATACAAGAATATTAATTTTTAATTATAGTAAACAGTTAACTATCAATTTTTAATAAATTTATTTTTATTTAATTAAAAAACATAGATATTTATTATTATGTATAACATATCTAGTAGAGATATATGAAGAAAATCTGCACTAAATGTGTGTGTGTGTGTACAAAGTTGTTTGTATCATCTAAATCTACAAGTTCATGATTGCTCTTTTTATAGCCTTCTCCTTGTTTCTTCTGATTTTCTTCTTATGTTCAATATTCTTAGTGGCGTCTCTGAAGAATTTTATTCCTTCTCGTTCCTCAAAAATGCGTTGCAAGTACATCATACCATGCAAATTAAGGCCAATAGTATCCTAAAAACCAGTGTTCGTTAATCCGTCAGATAAAGAATAGTCTTATAAGTAATACATGCAGTCAATAAATAAATTTTCATTACTCTTAAAGCAGAGATTTTTTCTACAGCGAGTTTCTTCACAATCTCCAATGTAGGCAAAAGATTTTGATTGGCCACTATCGGACCATGATGTGCTTGTACTAAGCAAAGAGCTAATCTAGCTAATAACTCAGTATGATAATTGTTTTTTAACAAGTTAGGGAGTCTCTGAAGAATATCACAGGCAGCAGAAAATGGCAATAATAATAATGTCTCCTCCAATTCACTAAAACATAAAATCTCTGTTATATTTTCCATTTTTATGTGAAGTTTTGTTGTTCTGATGCTCATTATTACTCCATTGCATTTTACCTTGCCCTAACGCGTTTAAAAATTTCTAATAAAAAGTCTTCCGTGTTCGTGCAATTGTAAGCCTGCATCAGCAGGGGAAGAGGTGGTACTTTGTCAGAAGGAACAACCTTACTCAATTCTGTCTCATATTGATTAGATATTTCCAAGCATTCCAGTATCAGTTCAGCCTGATGAAAAAAGCATATCGTACAGAAATATTTTAATACTTTTTATGTTGTAAATTATACATTTTTTAATAATTCAACTTACAGCCTTCTCACTGCTAACAGTCTTTTTAGAAGGTAATGTTTGTTGTTTCTGTCCTAATACTGTAGTACTTTCCCCAGTAATTAATTCGTTTTCCTGTTGTTCTCTTTCTTCTTCTGCTACGTCTTGTAATACTAAAGGTTCGCGAGTCTTCTCATACAATCTAACTACTCCATCGGAACCGCATGATGCAACGTAAGCCCCGTTTGATGAAACGCAACAATTCCAACTTTCTCCAAAATGGCCCTATAAAGATCATGGAAATACCGTAATTAAGCCGTCGATACGCCAAGTATTTAATAAAATACGCTACCTGCAATGTGATGATTTTTTGATATATATCGGCGTCCCATTGTTTAATTTTGCCATCTTTACCAGAGGTAAAGAAATAATGAGTACCAGGCACGAATGAAAGACCTGTAACAGAGTCATCATGTGCGAATATGGACCTGCGACAATCGCCGTAATCCAAACCCCAGATCTTGATGTTGCGATCTTGAGAACCGGTTGCTATGAGTGTGGAATCGCTAGATATATCCATGCATAGTACTGGTAGCTCGTGTCCATAAAGCGACAGAAAGAACTATAATAAAAATATAAAACAATAAAAGATAATATTTAAGATATAAACGGATGTATTCTAAAACAGTTGTCATACCTTAAATGTATCCAAGAAGAAGATTTTAATGGTAGAGTTCAATAGAGAAACAGCTAAAAATCTATTATTTGGACTTATTCTTACACACAGTACGCTTTCTTCGAGCTTAAGCGTTCTTACGTGCAAAACAGAAAGAACTTTAGCTTTTATCTGATTGTCAGGATCTTGAATAAGTTCAAAATTCCAAAATTTCACCGTTTGATCACCACCACCGCTGGCAACTCCTTTCTATTTGTACAAACATATTAATGAGCTTTACATTTTAATAATGATTGTTAGGATACTTTTCTTAAAAGCTATTACCAAGTCGGGAAATAATGTTATGCTCGAAAGCTCTTTGGAATGTGCTGATATCTCTTCCAAGATATCACCAGATGAAATGTCAATAATAAGCATTTTTCCATCTTTCAAACCAACAATCAAATGCCTGTCACCTGGGACAAATGTTATCGTCAGTGCATAACCACACTGCACTGTGCGTAAAGATGATAATGTTGGTCTATAAATTATATTTGTTAACAAATTTCTAAGATATATTTATTTATTAAAATGTATATTTCATAAGATACCTTACCTATTCCATAATTTGACAGAATCTCCGCTAGCGGTAGCAAATGCCAAATTATCGGAGCTAAAACAGATAGCTCGAACATCTGTACGATGTCCATGTGCTGTTATTGAACGCAAATGCTTTACTTCCGGATTTTTTTCATCCGTAAACAAAGAATGTAATTCAATCGAATTGTTATTGATTCCGACACACACCTACACAGAATAGGTAAAATAAAATATAACACAAATTTTAAGTGATTTAATACAAAGTTGTCTTATGCTGTTACTAACTCTCAGTTCATTTCCTCTGCCTATAACTAAATCGAGTCCTTTTGCTTTACCAGATACTCGAATAACAGGCAATCGTTGTATCTCATCCTTTAGGGATGGTGTAGTAGGTAGCTCTTTCTCTGCGTCATTTCCTTCTCTAGTATAACCCAAGAAACATATACTTCAAACATATATTTAAATTTTTTAAAGAATAAATTAAAAATTACTTTTCTGCTAAAAACTCACTTCTGAGCCTTTCGTCTTTCTTTCTTCAATCTTTTTTTAAATCTATCTTTTATTGTATCTTCAGACAGTAGATAAAACAATTCTATGGAATTTCCCACTCCGTGGCATCCAAGAACTTTGCATGTGGAGTCAACTTCTAACGAAACAACTCGACCTCTTGTAGTTCTTAATATGCTTCCAGCTTTTTCACATTTTATAGGATATTTCTATAAAAATACAATGGACTTATAATTATAAGTACTATTTAAAAAATTATTACATAAAGAGGATAAATGACATCATAAACTGAATACAAATTGCATACCATATCTGTATCCACACTATCCTCATTTTCTTCATTGGTATCTATTGTACCAACAGCAGTATCCAATTCAATATTCCTGTTATCAAGAAATGTTATTTTCCAAACACGTAGTTCTATATCATTACATCCTGTTATTAAATAACGATCGTCATTTATTAAGACGAAACTCCACACCTGTATCAATATTGAATCAATACTACAATCATCTGGAATGTAAATAACAAATAAGAACATAATTAAGCTTACTTCTGATTTATGTCCAACAAGGGTTTTAAAATTATGTTCCGTGTCTAGATCCCAAAACTTCACAAATGTATCTTTGCTTGCACTAATAATAATATTATGCTCCTTCATGAATACCAACTTGGTTATAACACCTTTATGTCCATTTAACCGACATATTCCAGTTTCTGCCACAACGTCCCAGACAATAATATCTGTATCCTGTTGCATAAAGAAAAAATATAAGCACTTATATAATTTTGCTGTGTTTGTAAAAGATTCTAACCTTGGAACCAGTAGCTAATCTATGTCCTAATACATCATATGCCAAGGTTGTTATTTCAGATTTATGTCCCACAAATATGCTAATATTTTCACCAGTACTTAAATCAAAGGTTTTTACTGTGCCATCTGCATAACCAACTGCGACATGTTTTTTATCAGGTGATGCAGCCAGACGTGTTACGCATATTTTTTCTCCAGATAATACTTGTGCCTGAAATTAATATTACGATCACAGAATATAAAAATATCAAACATAAAACAAAACTATCAATCATAAAATATAAAAATATCAAACCTATTAAGTTCCTTCATCCTTCAATTTACCTTCTCTCCAAGTCGCAGGTCCCAAATGTATACATGTTCACATGCAGCAGCAGCTACAAATCTACCTTCTTGACCATCCAACTTTACAAAGACAACATTACATCGAGGACTCGCAATTATATTTGCATTACCTGCCGGTACATATTTCAAATACTGCTTGGTCAGGCCCATCTTACAGTTTGTCTATAGTCTAAAGAAAATAATCAAAATAGAACAATGTACTTCACACATAATAAGAATTTGTGAAAGTAAACTGAATAAATTTATTAGTAAAAGATTAGAAGGCAGCAATATTTAAATCATAAAGAAAGGTCAATAAAGTTAGGGATAAAGTCAGAGTTACATATTTAAATTTGAACAACTTTATGTGATATAAAAAGTTAGGAAAAGTAATCTGAAAATAACACAGAACTTGAATACACAAATATCACATAAAAAATCATTACATATATGGACCACCCTGACGATTGTTTAGAACATACACGTTATAACTATAGGTTAAGGTACTCAGACGCACGTGTACTCAACCATGGATTATATGTAGATTGGTGCTAGAAATGAATTGATAAAATGCGTGCGCATCATAACGCATAATAATAATAATAATAATAAAGCTTATTATAAGCTTATTAAGGCCCGTCTACAATACACGTACATTCGACTGTGATTGGTCAATTTCTTACTCTTACTTCTTACTTCGTGTATTGTAGACGGGCCTTTAAGGTTACTGATACAGAAATTTTATCTGCGGCAGTAGATAATTCCACTTTTCGAGAAAATGTCGTCTAATCCAAAACATTGGAAAAATATTCGATTATTTGTACAAAAAGCATCGATTCTTAAATCATCAATCGATAATTTCCCATTTCTAATGAGAACTTATAAATACCAGTTTCAAAGTCCAGTTTATCGTTCAAAATCTTATCAGTTTAAAATAAGACACTGATATTATATAAACAGGTATAAAATATTATATGTATATTATTACAAAAGTTTGGAACTTTGGTATTTATAATTTTGTGCTATGTATATATGTATATATATATAGGTATATATATATTTTAATATGTTTAAACAATTTACAATTCGTGGTTTGAGATCAAGCTTTTGTATAAAGCTAGTGAAACCATACAGTAAATCTACACAGCATGAAGTTAAGAAAATAGAAATTCCAGTACCTTGGGGCAAAGTGGCTGGTATGTACAATTTTTTTTCTGCAAGCATGATTCATATTATAAACAAAAATTTTATTTTAGGTAAGTTATGGGGATCACAAAATAAACAACCTATCCTGGCCTTGCATGGCTGGCAAGATAATGCTGCGTCATTTGATAACATAGCACCACTTATCATGAAGAATACACCTGTTCTGGCAATCGATTTACCTGGACATGGTCTATCTTCATGGCTACCACCAGGATTTATGTATAGTGAATTGATATACTTTTTGTTAGTCAAAAGAATTAAAAGATATTTTGGATGGGAAAAAATAAAAGTAATGGCGCATTCCTTAAGTGCAATGACAACATATTGGTATGCTGCGACTTTTCCAACAGAGCTACAATATGTTATAGCTTTGGATTTTTTCAAATTTGTGTCTATTAGTGTAGGCAAGCATACTCCTATATTTAGAAATGCAGTTGATGCGTTTTTTAAACTCGAGGAAGATTATGTTCAACCAAATTACACGCAAAGTGAGATTATGAATAAGATATCTACAGGATATATGATACATATGGATGAATCATCAAGTAAAATACTCATGAGTAGAGGTGTTACGCAAAAAGAGGATGGAATGTATGTCATAAATAGAGATCCTAGAATACGAGTTATGCCCATCCATAGTATGTTTTCGCCAGAACAAATAGAAGAGTACGCAAAGTTTATAACATGCCCATATTTAATAATCAAAGGAGACATTAATTTATATGGTGACAACAAAGAACTCTTTTATAAGACGCTGGAAATAATGAGAGCAACTAATGATACAGTACAATTTGAGATTCTGTCAGCAACGCATCATCTTCATCTCACACATCCAAAGGACACAGCAGCAATTATTAATCCCTTTTTAGAAAAGTATGATTAATTATCCACATGCTCTCAAGACACAAGTATAATCACATCGCTTTATAATGGACCATTGTCATACTGAATTCAAATTAAATTACGAAATTTTGGTTTAAGTATCCAGTTAAATATAATAGACAACAATTTGTAATTTTCGAAAATAGCTTAATGATTTAATAACTGTACACCTTATTCGTCTATCTTTTTACAACATATTAATTTGTTTCTACACCGACTCCAATTTTTGTTACTTGCACATCGAGGGTGACCTAACCTTATCGAAACATCTGTAATTGATGTTGGCGATTGATATACTGGGTGTCTCAGACCACCCGTTTTATCTCGGAAATAGAGCATTTTAGAAGAAAACATTTCAGACAAAAATTGTGGGGTTCTAAATGATCTATTTAATGATCTGATCAGTCTGACCTTGGGTGGTTTCTATTAATGTGAAGTAATTGTTAATTCTATTAATGTGAAGTAGTTTACGAAATGTCACACGACAATTTCGATAAAAGAATCAATAAATTGAAGAGTTTAGTACAATAATGTTTGTATCACAATGATAATCATTATGTATATGGTTAATCAACCATAATTTTCGAATGTCACTTCTACCGAAAATATTGTAAAATTTGTCAAACAAGGATCGTACTAGGACAATCTATGTTGAGTTCATGGACATCAGGACTAATATATAATTATAAATTCACTATAGGATTATGGAATATGTAATAACATATACACGATAATAATATGTAAATTTTGTAACATTCACTGAAAAGGACTGTTGAAAAAAGGTCAAAACGTTTGAAATATTGTTTATGTGAAGGTTAATAAAATAATTTAATTACAGCATATGTTATTGTATACTAATTGAATTCTATGTATTTTATAATTAAAATAACGAGATTGATTGTTAATTTCAGTATTTAAAATACAAAATACTCCCAATTTTTAGACATTAATACTCAAATACAAAATATTTTTATATGCTCTCATGAAATATAAAATACAAAATGTTTTCATGTGCTGCGCTGAAATACAAAATACAAATGTCTTCAAATACTATTTTTCCAATAAAAGTATTTCAAATAATATATTCTCAGCCCTGACCCTACATACTCTTAACTATGGGTGCATTCCAAATTACACATAAAGCGCATAAAATATCATTTTATCCTTTTTTGTTCTTCAGTAAATAACAAGGATAAATTATATAAAATATAATCAAGTGCAAGAATGATATTTGGTGCATTTAAGGAATGTTTGTAATATTCAAGCATACCTCCATTTACCTAATTATAGGCTACAAATAGCTTTACTGCAAAAAATAAAGTAGTATCGTTGAATAAATATCCTGATATACTTATAAATACCCTTATATAGAAATAAAAACACATTAGACATCTTTTTCATTCTTCAGATGGATCAAGATTGATCAAGATCACATCTGTCAGTTGAGTGAGCGCTTGCTACTATTGGTGTATTCTTTTAGATCATCCAATCAGCATTCTAGATCTGGAAGAATACATCAATAGCAGCAAGCGCTCATTCAACTGTGTCCGCGTCTTCTTCTTCTTATAGCGTTTTCGATTGGGGTGCACTGGCTGCACTCAGTGTCAAGAGCGTGTTCGATTGGCATTGCCAATGCGAACATTGCGAACTTGGCTAGTGTCACGTGTTCATTTGATCGCACGACACAGCAACGTCCCTGTGACGTAGGCCTACGTCATTCGCGTCACGCTACGGGTTCCACACGGCTCGGAGCACGGCC